GTATAAAAAAAATTCTTTCACAATTGTGTAACCATCGGATAATCATTTCCATATTTGGGACGGTCTCACCTCGAATTCATTTTAGCAAAGTTGCTACTAATTTAACAAATTTAACACTGCTTAAATTAGAGATTATTAAAGCGATCTATATAAAATTTTAATATGCAACACTTGATTTCTTAAAAAGTACTTTAAAGCATATAAATAAGTTACCCGGGCAATTGATCTACATCAGCCAATCAGACGAATTTCGTCCTATGACTCCTGAACTGATTGTCATCAGACCTTCCAAGTTATACTGCCGTAGATATTCTAGATTTAGGTGCACATTGACGATCAACCAACTTTTTCCTCTATATGCAAGTTTCCTTTTTGTATGTTAATAGTTTGATAGTTTAAAAACATGTCTAGCATCAGTAACAGTGATCAACAAAATTGCACTGAAGGTGGTGATAACAGCGTGTTACTAAGTGGTGTTAAAGGGAATAACATTTTTTCAGAGTTAGAAGCAGATTTCAGTAGGATCGAGACTATATTTGACACACTACTTACTCGACCTTTAAGCGAAGTATCTTCGAGATTTCCACCAGCAGAGCGTGCAAGGCTATATTTACTATATGCGTATTGTTGCAATAAACTTACTTCCTGTAAGTTTGAGCTTGATCATTTTCTCCACCCTTTTTCTGTAAAACAAAAGTCGTCCTTATTGAAAAGTGGGAAAATTCCGACTAAAATTTATATACGTATTACTAATAACTAACACGTTAATTGTAGTGTATTTGGAAGTTAATGGCGAGCCCGAAGCTAAAGAGGTCCTTGAACAAGAGGTGTGTAATATTTTATAGCTATGTTGATAGTGTGTTTGATAGCACTAACAATTTTGCTTTTTAACCTTAGAAACGTGTCCAAGAGAGTTCTAATAGAGTTGAAAATACGATCAACCCACCACAACCCTCATTAACCCTCAACCGTTCTGCTGCTGCACGCTTCATTATGCATTCCTTACCAAAGGAACGTGAAGCAAAGGATGAGGTTCGCGGTACGTTTAAATCATTCCTTTGATTTTTTATATTGATCTTTTTAGTTTTTAATTTTGAAAATATGCTTCTTCGACAATTGTTTTTTTTTTTTATATGAACTAGCAACGAGTTCGACGCACGCCCGATTTGATGATTATAGTGAGAGAAGGTTTAGTGGTTCTTCACCTAATGACAGAAGGATTAGTTCTTCATCTAATGACAGAAGGATTAGTTCTTCGTCTAATGACAGAAGGTTTAATTCTCCATATAATGACAGAAGGTTTAATTCTTCACCTAATGACAGAAGGTATAATTCTTCATCTAATGACAGAAGAGAAAGTAATCAAAAGCGAAGATAAATCACATATATAGTAGACTGTTAATTAACTGATAGAATTTTTCAACCAATCAAAAAATTAAAAATTTTAATATAGGTAATTTGATATAGCATATATTAATTCAATATACCAAGTTAAAAAAATTATAACGAATATTTTATTTAATAAATGCTATTTGAATTTAAACTTCTAAAAATATATATGATAATTTTTACGGTTTTTACTAAATCACACTAGTGGTGCTAATATCACAGTTGTTATATTTTAAAAATTAACAAATTAATTAATAACTGATGTATTAAATAAAATTGTTAGAATTTTCAAGAATTACTCTTTTATTTGGATTTGTTTTTTCTAGCACATCTAGCAGTCTGGTTGGTTTTTAAGTATATTTTGAATTAACTATAAAAAAAATAAAATATCTATTTAGAGCTTAGGATTGTGAAATTTGTTTTAAAGAGTTTTGACTTATTGGATTCAATAAGTTTTTGATTAAGTATAATAAATTTTTGCTTTGCTTGGTTAGCAAAGTTGTGAAAATCTTTAAAAGGAAAAGCAGTATAAAAAGTAGCTATATGAAGTTGGTTAGATAGAAAACAGAATTATTTATAGTTAAATAAATATATTTAGAAACAGGTAAAGTTTAAAAAGTTTGCTTAAAAGATAAATAGTTAAGTTGTGAAAGTTGTGTATAGTATTTGGTATAAGAATTATATACTTAGTTGAGGTTATATATACTGTATATATATAGTATAGTATAGTTGATAGCAATATTTGTATAAATTTAAATAGATAGAATAGTAGAAAAATAAGTTTCTTTGGAATAAGTTTTTTATATTTGTTAGGCAGTAATTAGTAATAGAACCCAAATATAATACAGTCAGAGATTTTACTAAATTAGGAAATCATATTTTAGAATGATCTTCATGAATTTGATTGGCTGTGTAATATTTTTTATCACCGTGGGATCATTTGATATTTTATTTTTTATTCGATATTAAACGATATACAATTAGCTAATATAAAACATCTACTTTAAAAGATCCCATTAGATTCCTCACAATAAGCCATTATAAAAAAGGTAAATGATAACTAACTTCGTTTGTTAATAAGTAAATTTTGTTGTAGTTAAATTTGATTGGTTAATTACACATGATTTTTATACAACTAAATAATCTAGAATTATGTGATCAACATTTCTTTACCATACAAGGTGCGATCTACACTATCCATATTTGGTAAAATCCCTAACTGTAATACTTTTGTTATATAGGATTTTTGCTAGGAAAATGATTCTCTAAGGTTATGTTGATTTTGTGAATAAACATTAAATTTGCCAACCATCTAGTTATTCAATTTGAATGAAGTTTTTTTTTTATTTTGTAAGCTTTATTAAGATTTACAAAATAAAAAAAAGTTCATTCAAATTAAGTAACTAGATAGTTAGCAAATTTAATTTTTATTCACAAAATCAACATAGCCTTGGAGGATCATATTAGGATCCCGAACAATCTATAGACAGATAAGATTTTAATTTGCTTATTTCAGACTATTTTTTCTGCAGATCTTTCTATTTTTAGTAATTAGTTTGCTTATTTCA